TACGTACATGTGCACACGGCTACACACGAACAGACGGGGGAATCAGGTTATACGATGAAAGAAGCGTGTGTTCCATGTAGAATGTGCGTGGGTACTTCTGTTGCCGCTTCCATCAAGCTCCGCTTTCGAGGAGCCGGCCTAATCTTTTGTCTCGTCCTCTATCGGCAGTTTTTCAACGACCTCTTTGCACGTTCCAGAATTCGGCTGTTCCTCATATTTTATCGCCGCGCGAGCTTTTCCCGGTTAGATGGTTTTAGCCTGTCCATGCGAGAACATTCTTACGACCACGAATTTCACTCACCGCGATATTTTCGAGTTTATGGTTGGGACGTAAGAAAGCGTTCTCATCTGGAGGAACAGGAATTGATATACGTATAGCTGGAATTACTGAAAAATATCGTTGATACTGGAACTATCAAAGCCGTGGGAACGGCTCTCGAATTGTACGATTTCGTTTAACTTGTTATTATTAACAATGTATCTGTATGAAATTGTTCCCAGGAGAAAAAAAAGAAACAAGAAAAAAAGGGGAAAAAGATAGAAGGAAAGTTACAGAACAAGCAATATTCTCTAACGTCCTATTCGACTTTACATACGAAAGACAATCGATCCTTAAGTTAAATTAGGATCTTTTTAGGGAAATGATGCCTGTTATATTATTAAAGCCTGGAAAGAATCACAGTTTGGGCCATTACACAAAGAGATCGATTGTTTTCTGGGGTCCGCGAATGCTTTCCAATCTCGTCCATTGGCCAAGCAAATTTACAATTTCCCGTAAGTCGTCCGAAGTTGCTATTCTTCCCCGTCATTTTGTCCCTCTCGTTCGGTCCTTTTTCGCCAGTGCATTCGTTCGCCTCTTCGAAAAGCGTAAAAAGGCTATAGATAAATTCGACGATTCGGAACTGGACCGATCGCTCGTAAAAAAAGAAAAAAAAATGGGGAAAATTCTTCCTCTTAATCTAGTCGACTTAGAGTAGACAGGATCGAAGCAGAAGAAAAGCGGATTTGGTTATCGTATCGAGTTACTTGGATTTTCGACGTACTTAGCGCGAGGAATTTAAAAATTGAATGTTTTTTTCTTTTTTGGGAAAGAAAGGATATTATTATATCGGATAGCATTTCTGTTTAATTTCGGAGATTCTTTGTTGACTTTAGGGCGAAGTCACGATTCAGTCGAATTCTAAACGAAGCAACGAGGGAAGAAAAAACGATATATCACGTTTTTTAAACACCTCCAATTATTTCCATATCAGGAAAAATGTACTTTTATTTGGTTTTGGGATTAAATATATTTTCATCGCCTTTTTGAACACTGTGACAGTATCGATGAACATTAGTTATTGGTTTTATCAGGTTTATTATCTGCTTTTAACAGGTTTATATCTTCGAACTTTGGACTGGGCACGTTATTCCTCTTTCGGACTATATCGTATCAAAGTAACCGTTTTTAGCTACCGGTTGGCATAAAAATTCGAAATTTAACAAAAATCGATCTATCGTGTTTTCCCTATAGTCTTTGAACGAAGTGAGCCACAGGTTGCCGAATAAAATTTTTATTTTCAATTTCGTTTCTGATGATTCGAAGGAAATGAAACGGAAAAAGTAAATGCACCGCGGAATTATTAAGATAAAATAGAAGGACGAATTTCCTTGCGAGTTAACATATGTGTGCCCCGTTTCCCATCGTACGACTTTTGGTTTCTTCGTTGCGTTATTCCGGTAAAAATGTTCCTCTTATGCGTTTTTGAAACTTTTATTCGGTAATCGGATTTTTCAACGTAACGCCATTTATGTTTCATTTCAATTACGCGGCTGAAAAGCTTTATATGGTAAAATATCCAAGCGAAAGACATTACTTCGTATATTTAAATGGTCTGGTAAAAACTTTTTTCCCGTGAAATTCATCGAAAATCCCCCTTTTTCTACAAAAATGCGAAATGTTCGCTCTCTTCCGTAATTTCCTCGTCAGAGGATATAGCCTGCTCGATCATAGAACTTGAAAGAACTTGACGATTTCTGCTAACACGTTTCTCGAGATCGAAGTTGATAATTCGTTGGTAAAAGAGGGAAAGAAACGAGGGGAAAAAGAAAAGAAAGAGAGTGAAAAATCTCGGGTAAAATGGACGTTGCGCGTTAAGTGTTAAATCAAGTTAAACGAGCGAGAGAATAACGCGGAGAGTCAACGGGTTCGTGGCATTGTGCTGCGCGACAATTTTTGTCCTAAAACGTAAACGAATACGGGGAAATGCAAGCCGTTAAGTGTTCCCCGAAGGACTTATCGAATTTGTCGAGACTGAACCGTTTAGGGGCCATATTCTCCAGGATTCTTATCGTTACCTGCTGACTCGTTACCTCTAATTTAGCATTTTAAATGTCGCCTATATGTATGTGTCGTTGATCGGCCAGCCGAGCGGGCCGGTATCAATGACTCAACGTGCCAGGAATTCGCCTTCTCCAGCATCCGACTGATCTTTTGGCTGTTTGGAAACACGCGACCACCCTGCACTGGTAGCTGTTCGTCCCAGTCAGACATTACGATTTCGTCGGAGTCAACTTGCACGATCGCTTGACGAGCCTTTTAGAAAACCGATATCAACCTTTAAAAAGGACAAGTTAGACGAATATTTTCTTCAGGCAGGATGATGTTTGGTCGGTTGGCTCGTGATCCATGCAATGATATCTCTCTTAACGTTGGTCGTTGTGATATCTTCGGCTTTTATAGGCTGATTTTTCTGCAAGCATTAGCGATCTTTAGCTCGCTTTCGTTTCGTGCTGTACATGTTGCTCGAACGATTCTGAACTGCGTAAAAGGCGAATGGTAGGTCGATGTTTCCACTAGTTTGCGGGAAAATATCGTCTAGAAGACGAACGATATCTTATCGATTATTAATCGAGCTAAACGAATGAATTATTGTGTCGACAGACACTTACGAAACTCGACGACCAGGTGCAAGTGCAGGAGGCATCCGGTAACTCGACCGGAAGTGGAATCGTAGCCAGCAGCCTGATGCAATTGCTGTGCAGTTTGGTCCCGGAGGAGCCTTTCGAAAAATCGGCATTGCAAACGCGGGTCCAGGATATTGCTGGGTGAGTAGCTAAAATGCGGCGTGTGTTTTCATGTTTTCACGTTACGAGACCTTAAAAATTCGACGTGTACGTTCAGCATCGATCATACTTTATGCATCGATGTCATTTCCATTCTCAGAAAAGCGTGCTATTTAAAGTAGCATCGTGCATTAAGGAACAGCTGTCATAAATGCTTTCCTTGAATTAGAAACGTGAGAAAATAGACGAAGCAAAAGTAACATGGTAGCGTATTTTATTAGGATGCTTTGGCAATTCTGTCCGGCAGGAGAAGTGTGCCACGAATTCGTTTTTCAAAAGTGCTTTTCGAAATGTATCGTGCTAGACTGTTTTTTACGAGTAGACATACTACTACTTCCTTTTCTAAGTCTTTTCAATTTACGAACAAGTCATCCACGAATATTTCAACTGCTCCAAATACGTTTTGTAAACGTAAAGTGGACGAAACCTTACGGGGAAATTCGTCAAATCTACAAATAACGCGACGAGAATATTTTCTGAATGTCGTTCGTTATTTTCTTCTTTAAAACTATCGATAGAATGACGCACTTTCGTGATACCGTTATAGTAATTGTCGTTCTAAGAGGAACCTACTTACACCCGGAAGCCTTAATTTTGATAATTGCGTGACACGGGGCCGTGTGAAAGCCTTAGATTTCGTAATTTATCGCCTTTCATAAAAACGTACATTTTTTTTCATTATAAATTCAAATAAACTTTTTCCGACTAAAGCGTAACATAAAATACGTTCTGTAATAACAAAAGTCTTCAAGGTGGATATTTTTATAAAGTATTAACGTTTCCACTGAAACGTCTATCTCATTTCCCTTGCATAATAAAATTACTTCTAGCATACCATTAAGTATTCATGCGACAGAAGTTATGATATTTGAAATCTAATTGCGTGCATTAAACCACGAATATACCTATACTTGATCGAAATACACAGGTATCCTAATGAAATGCGAACATTGTTTATTCGAAGGAATATTCTAAGATATTGGAAATATTACGAACACGTGGAGAAAATAATCTTCGTAATACTTTAAAATATAATTTTACACATTAGTAATTATCTTTGATAATTCAAATATTTTCCTCTTACAACCTTAATGGAGTAAGATATTAATTATCGTATTTTTTCGATTTGAGATTAACGTAACGGAAAGGTTAGCGCTCTCTATTTTCGCTGTCCGTTTAAATTTCTACAAAATTTCCATCGTTCAATCTCTCTCAGTCCTATGTTGCACAAACATCGCGGTACACGATTTCTTTGAGGCGGACAATGAGAAAAAACTTGAACGCTTTTGAGGCGCGTGGACCACCCTGTAGAAAAACATGACGGTTCTGTTGCGCGAGCTGAATTTAATACGCGAGTCACGCGGCAAAGTGACAAGGTGCATGCTGTTTTCGTTGCATCCTCTGAGATTCGATCTTCGAGAGGAAGAAACGTTGCACCTGGGTCAACTTCCTTCTTCCAGACCCCCCAATTGGTTGGTTAATCCTTTCCTATTTACACGGAATCGCTTCCTTTCTTCCTGTTTCTATTATTCGAATTTCATTGCGTTTAGCGAATACGCATGTAGCTGTATCCATCGTTATTTAATTAAACGCGTTAAAATTTATTCTCACGCGTTAAATCCCTTTTCGACAAATAGAAATCTCGAATTCCAATTTGACCGGGAAATTGCATATTTGTGAAATACACCCACAAATTGTACCAATACTTACGTATGTCAGACACGTAAGTTGCGATTGATCGATGAATTTCGCTTTTTGCGAAGGTTAATTTTCTGTCGTATATTTTTCAAACGTTATGATAATTATCACCGCTATGTAACACTTCTGTCTGTGAAAAATCAGAAAATCGATCGACTCTGCAAAGATTATTTATCCAAACAAATTATGTTAGCCGGTGAATCTGCAAATTTTGAGTTTACTAACTGTAACGTCCAACGTTTGAATAATGAACGACGAAAGCGCGATCAGAGTGATTGCCGGCCGGTCGTTGCTAGTCGAATTATTATGATTAATTTCCTGCCGATGCGAGAATGGCCTAGTCACGATTTTTACTCACCAGCCAAGATTGCTTTTCGTTCGTACCTTTAAAGTGCGCAGATGTCTAAGGACGATCGATCATTTCGTACCTGGTAATACGTATTTGAGAATCGTTCAGCGCATTCATCGTTGTTCACAGTTTGAAAAAATCGCCCCATGCCTTCCGTTTACATTTTGCGATTTTCTACAATACGACGATTCTCGTCGCTTCGTAAATCTCTGATCCGAACGATCGCGTAACCTTTATCGCACGGAAGTTGGAATTATCGTCGTTCGAAACATCGTTCAACAAATTGATAATCATTTATAGACCAAATATCATCGTAATTGGGTCGTTGTTGAAGTGTTGCCACTCGGAAAACAAGCATCGAATTGGACGAGATAAGCAGATAACACGAAAAAGTCGACTATCAATTCGTCGAGTTTCGCAATCTATGATTAAAGAGTCGTATACACCGGCATCTCTCGCAGGAATTATTTCCTTGCTCTCCAACGAATACGAGAAATGGCCCTTTTGTCGTAAATAGGTGCCACAAAGCGAGAGGCTTCGCGTAACGTGTACCATATCGTTTCCCCTTTTCTGTTGTTTCTTTTACCGAAACGCGCGGTCCGCGATGCACTCCGAGCTGCTACGAATTTTAAATGATTCGCTATTACGCAAAGGAGATGTGTTTTCATCCAAAAACTTCAACCGAAGTGACTTTCCTTATAGCCACGAATGTTAGGGCTTTTATGCTACGTAGAAAGCAGACATTGGCAATGTTGCAGAAATAATTAATCACGTTCGCTCGATGTTTTAAGACGTCGAAAGACCTAAAAGGATCATCTTGTGCATTGTGACTTTTCTCATGCCACGTTCAGCGACCGACAGTTTCTGCGTAAATGAATTATACAAAAGTATTCCGAAATATTCTCTTTTAACAGATGGGTTCGAACTAAACTCGAGATACAAATTCGACGTTTCGTTCGTTCTCGGTGTAACCACGGAAACATAGATTGCTCTCTGTCAGGGAATTGATTCAGACGGGTGAATAAAATCGTAAATAAGATTCGACCGCGTTTCAAAGATTGTTTATCGAGAAGGAAGGCGCGCGGAGAAATACGCGGAGGCTTAGTTCACGATCTAATAAAATCGAGAACTCTCGAAAACGATGATAATCGGGGCTCAAGTGGCAATCGGTGAGGTAATTGTTAGAACGGTCCTAGAAAAATCAGTCGGTAAACACTCTTATTATTAATCCCGATGAGTTGATCGAACGAACGTCTACCGAGCTCATTCCCTTTCGCCTTCTGAGATGTTGATACAGCTTTAATCGAAGTAGGATCAACCGAGCAATTGGTAATTTACTTATGAGACGCGTGCGACCGTTTCGTGGCCATCTCCCCACCCGATTCGCCCCCGTTTTTCAAATTAATAAGATACTCGATGTACTAAGAAATGTAAACGTTGTACCGAATCTCGTTATTTACGAAGCAACATCTCTTGTCGATGGTTTCTTCTCTTTGCATCGAAAATACGAAAGCAGGCGTATACGTTGCGTTTCTAACTAGTCGTGGTCAAACGCAATTTTTCATTTATTACGCGTTTTCGCCTCTTGTCAAATTATTTTTATTCGTTCCACTTTGTTTTTCCGTGTCGCGTTAAAAAGTGAAGAAGTGGCGAAATTCTTGTTCGATCTTTCTTACTTTTCAACTATTACGCGAATGATTAAATCGGTTTAGAGTACGTCGTACTTGTTTTTATTACACATTCTCGGTAGAATGTTGCAGTAAAGGAAACGAAAGTGTGTCAATTTGTAAAATCGTTACCCTCGTTACGCTAGCCTATTTCTCCCTCGGTGTAAATCACAGTTTACTTTCGTTAATTGAAACGGCCATGAAAGGAAGATGAAACGCTTTCAGTTTTTGTTTTCCTTTAAAATAAAATTAACCAGGCTTTCGATCAGCTTATCGATATTTGCATTTACAAATGTGCACCTATGGATGATATAAATTTAACATAAACAATATGTTTGTGGTAAATACCTGGTAAATATTATTTCTCCATGATGTTACCCGTATCGTTATATTCCGCCATATTATACGCTTGAACCAAATTATTAGTAAACGTGCCTCGACTAACTAATTACATTTGATATCGTAAATTAAAATTTATATATCGTTACGTAAATTACATATTTGCAAAATCAGTAGAAATTCCATTACCTTGCACGTAGAAGAAATCGTATAGATTTTGAAGAAACCGCCTAGTCTCTTCCGGAGAGATGCGTTCGAGATATCGCGTTAATAGCAAACGCGTGTAAACTGTTATTCGTTGATACATTTCTGATTTATTTAAAAGAAACAAAAAGAAGAAAAGAAATGAAGGGGTTGTCGTACGCTTCGAAAATATTTTCTTACGGTATTTTTTGAAGAAAGCGTTCTGCCGTACGATTGTACATAGGCAGAATCGAGCACTGTGTATTTATTAAATCAATAATCGTCGAAGAAGATTGAAAAGAAGCGGTTGCATCAGAAACGAAGTCTATCGGGAAAATGGGGCCACAGGATCGTCTTTGCCGCGGCAAGTACGGGAAAAAGGCAGGGACGCTCTTTAGAACGGCCAAACGAAATTATTAGATCAAACAGTAGCGCCGTTATATTAATAAAATAGATTTTCTTGCTGTTCAAAGGAGAAAAAGGGACGTTGTCGTCTTTCACGTAATTTTGTTTCGCGCAACTCCCGGTTTAATGATGTCGCGCTAAAGCGCACCTTTTATTTATTTCGCGATAAAACGGCGTGCTATAATATAATACTTGTTCGTAACTTCGTCTCCGCAACTATTACGTTAGTAACTTTTTTATATACTTAATGACGCAGAATCGAGAGAATTAACGAGAAGCGAAACTTTTCTATTCTAACGCGTCTAACCTTACGTTTACAAATCGAATGATCTTTTTAGAGA